GTGAATCCCTGAAAAGATATTCAGGATGAAACTGGTGTGAAGCTGCTTGAATTAGATGATTTTAACTTGAACTATTAACACATTTGTGTTGAATTGAAATAAAGCTGAACTAAAATTAAATATAAATATGACATGGGTGTTTCAATGTTAAACTTGAACTAAAAATCAGCAATTGAATGAAAAACTAGTTGTTGCACTAAATTACTACCTAGAAATAAATAAAAGCTAGAACTGAGCTAAAAAGAAATGGAGCCTAAATAGTAATATTTTAAAAGAAAAACCTCTTACAATATTATAAATACTGAAAATATTATAAAAATATATTTAAAATATTAAAAAAAAATAAAAAATAGAGCAAAATTATTAATTAAAATTACTCTCCTGTCCACAACCGTTTGACTCAAGGTCAGTCAATATCAAAAAAGGACATAAAAACCATAAAGTGCAATAAAACCGTCCATATGAGAGCAGGAATGTTGATTTGGCGATATTAGTGAATCCCTGAAGCTGATTAAATTCAATGATTTTATGATAGCATGCATGATAGGGATGCTAAACGGAGAAAGTGGAAGGTGTCTCGTGTTTCCTTTGGTAATTTACGAAGCAGACTGAGACTTCCGAGAATTCCAGGCGGTCGGAAGTGTGAAACACGACTATAAACCGTTGCAGGTTTTTTACGGGCTGCGCTGCATATGGAGCTCGTGAGAACGTGAATGACAGATGCATATGTGAGAGGAGGACCGAGTTAATCATGTCTGTCGCACTACTAATAAAAACTACAGAGATTCTTGTCCTGGTTTAGATGTGTTTGGAAAACATTTTAAAGCCTTCCAAACCATTTTCTTCGGATATCATGTTTAATATATTCTGTGAAAACTGAATTGTTTTGATTATCACCAGTAATGCACTGTTTAGTGATCAAACAAATCATTCTTTTGATGTGGTTCTTTTCAATGATTCAGTCAAACCAACTTGTGAATCACTTGACTGTAAGAAAACATATTCAAACCATAAAATCAACACTCATTCACTTTTTTGAGCTCTTGCAAAATTTATGTGGAGAAAAATAGGGTTATTATTGTTAACTGCAACTAAATCTATTAAAATGTTTTTGACAAATTTAAACAAAGCTAAAATAATAAAAAAATATAAGATGGAAAACTAAACTTTAAACAAACTAAAAATCAGAAATTGATTGAAAAAGTAACTGAAATAAATTTAAGTTGAAGTGCTAAAATAACTTGAAATAAAAAAATTTAAACTTAAACAATAAAATTAAACCTAAATGGTTATATTAAAGAAATAATAATAATAATAAATAAAAAAAGCACATATCAAAATTACTAAAACATAAACTAAAATTAAAATGAAAACTGAAAATATAAAACAAAAGCACTAAAATAACTTGATATAAATACAAATTTTAACTTTGAATAAAATGAAAACTTTAATAAAAATATAAAATTAAACCTAAATAGTAATATTAAAAAAATAATAATAATGAAGAAGAAAAAATGCACATATCAAAATGACTAAACATTAAAATAAAATAAAAAATGAAAAGTGAAAATATAAAACAAAAGCTAATTTAAATATATAAATAATACTAAAATAACACTTAAAGTGGCCCATTTATAGTGATAACATCATAATCAGTAAATATGACAATAAAATCAAACCCATTTATTATATATGATATTTTTTTGCAGAGTTTTTTGCAGAGTTTGCACGCTCGGCACGGCTCCTCCAAGTCTGTCGAGGAACGAATCCTCTTGACCTTTATCTCCACTCTTATCAGGAAAAATGCCAAAAATGTGGTGGTCAGACTTTAAAGGTGACATATCATGAAAATCTGACTTTTCCAGGTTTGAAGTGCTATAATCAGGTCCCCGGTGCATCGACCAACCAAGGAAACGTGAAAAAGATTAACCCAGTAACTTTGTTTTGGCAAGCTTTTTTCTGCAAGCGTCTGAGAAAAAACTCGCTCCCTTGGTGACGTGGCAAAGGGATCTCATTATAATATTACCGCCCCTTAATCTGTAAGTTTCCACCCATGACGCCGTCATTTTGATTTCGCAAGTGACAACGAAATCCTTCCGAAGTAGGTTTGATTACTGACAGTGTGGCATGCAGCGGATGTTTGTTATGCAGTCAGATGTTCTGTAAGCTGAAGGCAGTGTTTCTCCTGCAGGCGAACCTGCCGTTACTGCAGAGGGAGCTGTTGCACTGCGCTCGAGCCGCCAAACAGACTCCAGCGCAGTATCTGTCTCAACACGAACACCTCCTGCTCAGCACCAGCGTCCCGTCGCCCGCAGACTCCACCGAACTACTGCTGGAGCCCAACGAGAGCAGCAAACGCCACAGTCCTAACAGGTATGAGCACATATGTGACCTTGGACCACAAAACCAGTCATAAGGGTACATTTTTTAAAATTGAGATATATACACCACCCCAAAGATGAATAAATATGCTTTCCATTGATGTATGGTTTGTTAGGATAGGACAATATTTGGTCGAGATACAACTATTTGAAAATCTGGAATCTGAGGGTGCAAAAAAATCTAAATATTGAGAAAATCGCCTTTAAAGTTGTCTAAATGAAGTTCTTAGCAATGCATATTACTGATCAAAAATTAAGTTTTGATATATTTACGGTAGGAAATTTACAAAATATCTTCATGGAACATGATCTTTACTTAATATCCTAATGATTTTTGGCATAAAAGAAAGATTGATAATTTTGACCCATACAATGTATTTTTGGCTATTGCTACAAATACACCCCAGCGACTTAAGACTGCTTTTGTGCTCCAGGGTCACATATAAAGATGCCTGAGAAATAAACCCTGAGCTTTCTTTTAAAATAAATACCATGGCAGTACTATAGTAAACTTATGCTTTCATATATCATGATTTCAGCATAGTTTTGCATGGTATTTCAAAAGAATACCATGATATTACTGTGGCAGCATTTTTTGACTAATTATAAAAAATGAAGACAGAAATACATTACAGTTGTAAATGACAGTAAACAGGGTTATTATTGTTAAAACTATTACAAATTTTGTTAATTTAAATAAAGCTGTAATAAAATAAAATATAAATATTAGATGGAAACCTTGAACTAAATGAAAAGTAAAAATGTTGTCTTTGGAACTAACTGAATTAAGTTGAAAAACTAAAATTAATAACTGGAAATGAATAAAATCTGAAACTGAACTAAAACTAAAACTGAAATAAAAATAATACATTAAACCTAATAATAATAATATTAAATATAATTATTTAAATTGAAATATTTATTTAAAATAATAAAAATGACAAAAGCACATTACAAAATTATTAAAAATTTAACTACAATTAAATTAAAAAAGCTTAAATTAAAAGCTAATTTAAAATAGTAATAAAAGCTATAATTGTATATAAATACTAAAATGACAATACTGTAAAATAAAAAAAAAGTGATATTTTAATAAAGTTTATTTTACACTTTTATTTTTATGTCTTATATTATTTATTTCCAAACGTTCAAAATCTCAAGCTTTTAGTCCAAAAACATGGCATTTCCATGATACCATGACCAAAATAACATTGCATGCCGTGGTACATATCTAAGAAAGCATGGAATTGCCACAGTATTAAAATAAATAAACAAACAAACAAACATGGTATTATCCATGGTAAAATGTCCAAAAAGCATGGTATGGCCATGGTACTTTTTGTAAGTATTACTAGGGATTGCACTTTGATATTTATAAAACGTATAGTTCCGGTGCTTGATTCTGATTGGCTGAGCCGCGTTCGAAGCTGTTGTAAATTACTCTACAAAGTAACATACACCTTTGTTTACTTTGTCTGTTGCTCGGCAACCACTTTGTTGCAACCACAACTGTTTCTGAGGAACTACATTGTTTGGTGGAAGAATAATGTTTTTATTAATATCATTACACTTTATTTGCTCTGTTTTATTTTGTGAAACCTAACTACGTATATGGAATAAACGTTTTATAAAAGCAATAAGCCCCGTGAAGCTGTAGTTTACAGTGAATTTATAACAGCTAAGGGGGTTTTAACAATGCCCCTTAGCTGTTATAAAATCACTGTAAACCACGGTTTCTTGGGGCTTATTGCTTTAATATAACATGGCACTAAATGGTTACCATTTTTATATACCATGGTATTTACTGTAAGGTGTTTCAAAACCCCTGGTATTGTCATTGTACAGGTCCAAAAGTGTTATTAGGGATTTGTTTCTTATTTATTTTTTATGATTTACTCCAGAAGTAAAGAGAATGGTTTCCACGAGCGTCCTCCCGCCTCCCTGGAGCCTCCTGCCAAGCGAATCTGCACCATTAGCCCCGCCCCCAGACACAGCCCCGCCCACCCGCTGCAGCTCCCCGCCCAGATACACCCGACTCCGCCCCCTCTGCAGCACTACGCGCTGGATGACATCAGCACACCTCACCTGTACAGAGAACCGCAGCGGGTCCCGGAGCTGAGGGAGCTGAAGGAGCGGCCGCGGCTGACAGGTAACAACACACAATATGAGCAGAAAGCTTTGACTGCTTCTGAAGTTTTGAAGATCTGACGTGTTTTGTTGATGTTTTCAGGCAGTAACGGAGGCTTCCGTGAGGAACCTGTAGACCACAGACTGACAGACAGAGAGTGGGCTGAAGAATGGAGACATCTGGATCACGTAAGACTGCATTTGTTGATAATTCTTACAAAAAAGCACCATGGCAGTGAATCTCACAAAACCTGGCTTGTGTTTCACCTGAAAATCAAGAATAAAATATAAAAAATTGTATTTTAGTGTTATTTTAATTTATTTACTATTATGTTATTTTTATGGTATTATTTTTAAGTTTTATTTTTAATATTTTCAGTTTTTATTTTAATTTAGTAATTTGTTTTTGTCATTTTATTTTGTCTATTTACCTGTCATTTATTTGTATTTCAGTTATAGTAATTTTACTAAAACTTTTTTCAGTGAGTTGCCAAGGCAACATTTAAGTTTTTCCATCTAATATTTATATTATTTTAATTATTTTCAAATAATCTTAGTTAAAATTAAGCACACAATGAAACACGTATTGCTGTAATGCAGAAAAAAAAACAGACAAAAAAACATTACTTTAATACAAAACATGTATATTTTTTAAACTGAAGTATCATGATAGTATTTGTTACAATGGCTTTAAATTTATGCTGATTTAAATAATTTTATTTCAGTTCTGAGAATTTAATCAGAATCATCAATGATGATGAGAATCAGAAATAAACTCAAAAGCAAAAAATCCAACATGCAATATACTGAGAGTTTGGGAGGAAAAATGTGTTTAATAGTCCTGAAAATAATGCAAAAAAAATCATAGTCATAAAATAGGGCTTCATTTCTGAGATTCATCTGGTAACACCGTGGTGTATGAAATAAAAAAAAAAAAAATCAACAACAAAAAACATATGAGTGTTAGTCAAGTCTGCTTAACTTACTTAATTTTACTTTTTCGAATGACAGATCAAATATTTTTAATTCATGCATAACATTATATTAAATAGTATATAATATTATAGTAACTCAAGTTCAAGTTCACGTTTATTTATAAAGCACATTTAAAAACGACAAGTGTTGTACCAAAGTGCTGTACAATTTATAAACAATTAAATAATATCAAAAGCAACAGCAAATTAAAAAACTCATAAGATACAAATAAAAGCATGCAAAATAAACCATAAACAACTTTATAACCCAATATTCTCAGGCAACACCATAGGCTAAAGAGAATAAATGAGTCTTCAATCTAGTTTTTAAAAAGTACGTAATGTATGTATATGCAAGTTTCAATCTATTGTGAATTTGTGCTCTAAGTTTCTTTTCTGCTTTTCTGTTGTCTCTGGTTGTAGGTGCTGAACTGCATTGTGGACATGGTGGAGAAGACGCGGCGTTCGGTGAGCGTTCTGCGGCGCTGTCAGGAGTCCGACCGCGAGGAGCTCAATTACTGGCAGCGACGCTCAAACCCACACGACGAGGGACGCAAGAACGGATCGGCCGCAGGGAACGCCCCGTTCAGCAAGACACACAGCCCTCTGTCAGCAGAGGGAGTCAACGCAGGTGAGTCGCTCAGGAGTTCAGAATCATGTTCCAACTTTGACCTTTTTTGCTGCAGACCTTTCATTTGAATCCTGTTACCTTCTTTACTCACAAACTTAATTTGTAGAGTTTGAGGCAATTTTTCAGAGCGTAAAACAAGTTCCCTCTAGTGGTGGTGATGGTCAACTCATTCGCTCCCATGTCAATTCACCTTGATTTCTATAGTGCTTTATACATTTCAAAGCAGCTTCAAAGTGATAAACAACAGAATCAATGAAGACAAATTCAGCTGTAAAGCAGTTCTAAAAAGACAATACTGTCACTATTCAGTTCAGTGTTGATTCGGTTCATTCATTATGAAACAAGTTCAATTCAGCGATAATTAAAGACAGTGGTGTCGTTATTCAGTGCTGATTCAGTTCAACAACAGAAAAATGCATCAAAATGCATCAATTATGAACAAATCTGATTCGGCTGTAAAGCAGCGCTACAGAAGACGATAAATTAATCATTCAGCTCAATCAAGTTTTGTTCTCCTCCGATAGTTTCAGTGCAGTCAAATTGATAATATTACTGAATATTAAAGAGATAGTTCACCCATTGACTTCCATAGTATGGAAAAAAAAAATCTATGGCTACCGTCAACTGTTTGGTCACCAGCATTCTTCAAAACGTCTTCTTTTGTGCTCAGAAGAAGAAAGAAACTCGTACAGGTTTAGAACAGTGTGAGGGTAATTCATGACAGAATTTCATTTTTGGGTGAACCATTTCTTTAAGTGTCTTTTAAAACCCAACTAACAGACGAAATCGTGTGTGTGTGTGTGTGTGTGTGTGTGTGAGAGAGAGAGAGAGCCTGCTGATAGAGCAGGTGTTGTGTATTTGGGTCCAGGCTGAGAGAATATCGTCTCAAGCGCCGAGGTCTGGCCGCGTTCCTCTCCGCCATCTGTGACCAAACGCTGCCCAAACTCTCAAAGCGGCTCACGTGCCTCTATATCCGTCCCCCCTCTAAAGCATTTCAGTGCTAATTCGCTCCTAATATATTTGTTTTTGTCCCCCGCAGACTCTCAGAGGGATCTTCCCCTGCGCGCCGGCTCTGGCTACGTGCCTGATGAGATATGGAGGAAAGCCGGTAAGGGCGGCAACCCAGATGCACCCTGGGAAACCTGTTTTCTCCCCTACCACCTGTTCATCAGTCCTGTTTCTCATTAATCACACTTTCAGACTCAAAGCTCTCTGCTGGATATTGATTCTTGTTCTATCGCAAGAAAATAGCGTGCATGAAACAGGATGTTGATGCATGTGTGGTTTGATTCTGCAGAGGAAGCGGTGAACGAGGTGAAGCGTCAGGCGATGGACGAGGTGCAGAAGGCCGTCGCCGAGGCCGAGCAGAAAGCCTTCGAGATGATCACCGCCGAGAGAGCCAAGATGGAGAAAACCCTCGCCGAGGCCAAGAGGAAAGCCACCGAAGATGCCATACAGGTCATCAACGAGCAGGAAGACTCCAGCGAGGTGAGCGTCACGCTAAACACACATTCATTCAGTCACCAACAACAGACGCTGCCTGCACCGATACAGCAATGTGTCATGAATATTTAAATGAGGCCTTCCTTTTTATGCAAATGAGGCTCATTATAATGCAAACATTCGCCTGATTGAATCAACATTTGGTTCTTTTAAAATCTAAATTGGGTGCTTGAACAGCACAGAAAGTGCATGCAAATAACAAATAGCACTATTAGAAGACACAATATTAAATAAATATACAAACGTTACAATATTACACACTACCATTCCAAGGTTCGGGTTTTTATGTTAAGACTTTTTCGCTCACCAAGGCTGCATTTATTTGATCAAAAGTACAGTAATAACAGTAAAAATGTGAAATATTATTAGCATTTAAAATAGCTGTTTTCTATGTGAATATCTGTTAAAATATAATTTATTTCTGTGATCAAAGTGGAATTTTCAGCATCATTACTCCAGTCTTCAGTGTCACATGATCTTCAGAATTCATTCTAATATGCTGATTTATCATCAGTGTTGAAAACAGTTGTGCTGCCCAATATTTTTGTGGAAACTGTGATACATTTTATTTTTCAGGATTCATAGATGAATAGAAAGTTCAAAAGAACAGCATTTATTTGAGATAGAAATCATTGTCACATTATAAATGTCTTTACTGTTGTAATGTGTTGCTCTGTTTCGGTGTGTTTCAGGTTCTGTCATGTTTGCCCATTGTATAACCTAGTTTTCTCTGTGTTGTCCTGATTTGTCATTATGTTAATTATCTCATTAGTCCCTGTGTTTAAAAACCCTGAGTTCTGCCTTTGGTCTCCGTCTGTTCTCATCTCTGTATCGTTTATGCATGTGTGTTATCGCCTGTGACTTTGTTTATTAAAAGTTACCATTTATATTCTTCGTCTTCTTGAGTGTTTATACGCGTTACGTCGCAGCTGTCACTTTTGATCAATTTCATGCATCTAAAAGTATTAATTTCTTACAAAAAAAAATCTTGCTGACCCCAAACTTTTGAACAGTAGCGTGCATACCATGGTATTTAATGATTTACCTACAAGTACCATGGTACTACTAAACATAAGTTCCTACCTACATAAGTACGTTTTTACTTTTAAGGTCTGTCACCTTAAATCAATTTAATGCATCCTTGCTGAATGAATGAATGAATGAATGAATGAATGAATGAATGAATGAATGAATGAATGAATGAATATGTGAATGAATGAATGAATGAATGAATGAATGAATGAATGAATGAATGAATGAATGAATGAATGAATGAATGAATGAATGAATGAATGAATGAATGAATGAATGAATGAAT